GTTTTCGATCTTCCTCATCTGTTCTGTTCTGAAAGCTTTGGCAGCCGATTTATCGAACACTGCGCTGCATCGTGGGCACAATGACACATCTTCGTCTTTTTCCTTCTTTCTATTCAAAAATTCGATGAGAGAATCTCCTGATCGAGGGTATATTTCCTTTTCAAACTCTTTCTCGAATTCACTCAGGTCAAATTCCATATCTTCTTCAGATACATCCATCCGGACATGCTTAGGATCGATGTCTTCAGTGACATCTACCATGCCTACAAAGGCTGAATATGTTAATCGGACATCATCAGTGATGCCTGTTTGGGATTCGAGGTATCCTACTTGAGCCTCGAATGGACTCGTGTCAACTTTCATTGTCATTTCTTCGAACTTCAACCTTCCTTGGTCGATCGCATCTTGAATGGTGTTCTTGAAATGTATACAATTGTTAGTCCAATGTCCATACACATTATGAAACTTGCAATATTTTCGACCATTCCTTTGTTCTGCAGACGGCAGTTTATGATCATCACTCAACTTAATCTGTTTGTCTTTTAATAAAATATCAAAGATTTTGTCTGCTTTTGTCACATCAAAAGTATATGTTCGATTTGCCATTTTATCTTTTACTTCATTCTTTTGTAGCAATTTACAGGTATATGGAACCCCTACTTTGAGTTCTGCTAAGTTTACTTTCTCATCGACAGTTTCTTCAATATCATTTTCTGTCATATTATCTGTCTCATATACATCATTTATGTATGCTATTCTTTCCTTTTTTAGAGGTTTCTCATATTTCTTATACCTTTGTTTCTCATACTCGATTTGTTCTACTCTTCTCACTTTATCAGCTAATTGAGCCAAGTCATTCAATGGTAAATTGACTAGTTTTTTCCTAATCGAGAATTCTAAACCTGCGGAAGCCATTCTGACTAATTCATATTCAGGAATTTGAGTGAAACATCTCGATTTCATTTGTCTAAATCGATTCAAATAATCATCTATGCTTTCATGATTGTATCTTTTTATATTCATCAAGTCGATGAGACTCACTTGAATTTCTCCTCTGAAGAACTGTTCATGAAAATTTCTTTCCAATTGTAGCCAATTATATATCGAATTGGGTGGCAATGACGTGAACCAAGTAAAAGCATTCTTAGTCAAAGAACTTGGGAAATATTTCATTTTCAATTCTTCACTCATCGCTAGGTCTCCACATTCGATCTGATATCGAGCTACATGCTCGATAGTCGATTCACCAACTTCTCCAGCAAATTTAGTGAATTTGGGTACTTTATACCCTCGAGGTAATTTTGTCTCGAGAATCGCATTCGGAAAGGGAGACACAAAATATGTCTGATTAGGTGGTCTAAATTCCATCCCTTGTAAATTCATCCTTTGTCCCAACATATTATTCTGATTGTGTATATTTTGCAATCCTTCGTTCAAATTCCCATAAATATCATTCCTCACATGTTGATACTCATGTCCCATACGCTGCTGTTGATCATTGTTTCTATTTCTTCTCAATAGATATGGGGGATTAATATTAGTATTTTGGTTAGCATGATTTTCTATCCTCGTTTGTCGAGGCACAGCCAATGCATCCCCGATTCGTGACATTTGGTCTGCTAATATCTCAAAGCTAGCAGTAGTGTTTTGCACTAATGGATTTAAGACTGTAGTCAATTGTTGTGATAACATATTCACCATTTCAAAATTACTTTCATCCATTTGTTGTCTAAGTATTCCTAAGGAGTTACTGGAAATTCCAGTATGAGTATTTTCGATATTCTCAAAATTAGATCGATGATAGTCCCTATCAAATGCATACCTCCCATGATCGGGATTCCCTCTAGGATCTAGATTCGGAGATGTCTGTTGTATACCTAAATTTTGCCCACTCCCTGAGTTTTGTGATGTCACTGAATTTTGAGACGCCCCTAAATGTGAAGCAACTCCAAAGTTTTGCGGCATGCCTAGGGTTTGAAATGTACCTACGTTTGGAGGCATTCCTAAGCTATATCGTGAATTTCTATGTATCGACGAAGTGCCAGCTCCGTTCATGTTATTGGGTGAAAAACCAGGTGGTCTTACACTCGTATATGGCCCTGCATATGTGGTTATGGGATTTCCCATAGTTTGCATATTATTTGGTATCGTCATACTAGACCCTATATGGGTGTTTGCCAATGTTCCTGGATTTTGTTCATTACTTGTTGGTATCGACGTACTTACAGTTGTCGATACTACAGGCATACTCCCATTGTGCCCTTGCCCCCCGGTATTTGGTGAGAGCACACCACTTAGACCCTCATTGTTATTCTGACTACTTGATGAATTCTGACTCATTATAACTCTCCCACTTCTTAATCTCATACACTCTCGAACTAACCTCTTTTGTGTTTTTTCAACACAAGACTACCCCTACCTGGCGCGCCAATTTGTTTCTGGCGGAATTTCGATCGATTTCGATTCTAAGGGTGTTTTGGTCCTAATCAAAATTCTACCACGTAAGCTCTTTTTACTTAGGCTAGCAATTTGATTTTCAATCGAAAATGTGTATGAGAATCGAAATATCCAGGATATCGAAAATGCTGTTTTTGTTATTTTGTATTAAAGTATCGAAAACATTTAGACTATCGAATAGAAAAGCAGAATATTAAATTGCGAGGAAATGTAAAATGTGAGAACCTCAAACTTGCATTAATTGTAAATAGCGAGGAATCGAAAACAACACAAATATAAATGACAAGAAATCAAGATTGCAAGAAAAGTAAATGACAGGAAATTGAGATTTGCAGAATGTTAAATAACAGGAAATCTAAATGCAGGAACTCAAATTTTCATTGAATTGAAATGGACAAGGAATCGAAATATAGAAACATAAAACTGCTGAATTTAAGTTGCATCAAAGTAAATTACCAAGGAAAATACAGAAAGCGATAAATGTACTCCGTGAGCAGGGAAATCCAGACCGCCAGAAGCTTCATGGTGTTCGTCGTTTCTCCGGTAGACTTTTCACTACTGGTTCTGTGCTCTGCCAATTTTTGCTCCTCTGTTCCTTCTTCCTTTGCTTTATTTATAGGGCATCCTTCAAACCTTCCTAAGAGCAGTTAACACGACTGCTACCACGTTCTACGTGCGTATGACAGTTTATCTTCTATAGTTTCCCACGTTCTCATGATCTCCGACTTTTTCCCATGATTTCAAAACTCGCTCTTTATACGTGCGTTCGACTCACTTCCTTTCACGATTTGGCCAAAATCTCGATGTCCACCTTGGTTTTCTTTACTCTCGATTCTCGTATTCTTTGAGAATTTCGAATTGCTTATGATTCCTTTTTAGTCCTGGTCTTATATGACTTAGTCTTTATTTGACAACAGATCATTCGATTCTCGATTGTGTTTCTCGATGCTATATGCTACGTGTTTCTAATTGGACATCGAATGAATATTTGTTTATCTTATCGAGTCACATTTCTTTCCCTTCGATTCCGATCGTGTTTCTCGATTTGCTACTAACAAGTAAGATGTTACAATTTTTAATTATTATGGATTTATACCTGAAAAATCTTTAAAATTTTAATATGAAATTAAAAAACATTGATTTTATTTTAAATAGTAAATGAATAAATACATTATAATAAATATAAAAACAATTTAAAATACAACGTAACAATGTGTCTTTTTTATTATTTATGTAATAACATTGCCATTTTTAATTCACATAAAAAAAGAGAGAGTAATATATGAAATGTAACTTATAATATTACATATAAATATTAATTTTTATAGATAAACAATAGATATACTAGTTAAATTATGAGATATAAATTTTGAATGGATCATATAATATTTATGCATGAAAATTTCTAAAAACGTTTTTAAGAATCTTGACCATCAGCAAAAATGTTTTCAACCTTTTCAATTAACACAAAAGATAAAAGAAAAAAAGAATCATTTTATATTCAAAGTAAAAAAATAAAAAATAAATTGCTCGAACGGAAATTGGTCCATACCAAGAGGCGAAAGGAAAGGTTAGTAAATGGGATTTTGTCCCTTAAATGCTGTGTTTGGGACCACCATTCAAATATTATTAAATATAAGATAAGAAGAATTTAACTATTTTAATTTTTTTTTCAGAGAAAGTTATTTATTCTTATTTAGATAAACGAATTTAATATCGTTATATATATGTATATATATATATATATATATATATATATATATATGTTTGTTATGAATATTAATGTTGGAAAATGATTTTAACATAGCGTTTACTAACCGTAAATATTACACAAAAATGAAACAACAAAAAGTTGTCTAAATTTTATATTCAAACAATCACATTTGGAGTTCACTTGAGCATACAAACCTTCATTAAACTACACGAACAGCTAGTCAAACAGAAAAAAAAAAAAAAAAAAAGAAGAAAAAAACTCTGATTTCTATTTTCTAATAAAAGCTTAAAAGTAAATAAAAAAGAAAAAGAAAAGAAAAAGAACATGTATGTGTGACACTGGCATGCAAAAAATAAGGTTTTTTCAGGAACAGAGAATCCAGCTGGGAGGGCACCTACAAATCAGAGTGATTTTAAGTTTTCACTGGACCACCACCTCCAACACGTGGGTCCCATTTCGAACCTTCCCTCAATTCTTTTTAATCTTAAAACAAACACCGGTCACCCGCGCCACACACCGGTGGTTCGTTGCACGTGAACGTACTCTATTCTCTTCTCTTCCCTCTGAAAAACATCTTCAATTCGTTCTCTCTCTCAATCTATTTCCCTTTCTCCAACCTCGCAAACGCAACACCCTTTGCGCTATAATACGTGACACCCGCCACTCTTCCTCGCACCACTCACGCAACTCACGACACTCTTTTTTTCTTCTTTTTTGTTTTTTAAACTTTCTCCCCACAACCGTACCCCACTCCCTTCCATCGAGGTTCCCCATGGCGCCAATTCCGTAGCTAACTAACTCGTTTCCTCGAACAACTCGAACTACGCAAATGAAGTCTGCGCGGGTCAAAGGAGGGATTTTCTTTACTCTCCTAACGTGCGTCTTCGCCATTGCAGGTTCCGATCTAGCTTCAGACAGAGCGGGGCTGTTGATACTCCGAAGCGCGGTGGGGGGACGCACGCTGCTATGGAACACCACCCAAACGAGCCCTTGTTTGTGGACTGGCGTGGTCTGCACCAACGGGAGAGTGACCATGCTGCGCCTACCCGCGATGTGCCTTTCCGGTTCGCTCCCATCCGGTTTGGGCAACCTCACCGAACTGCAGACGCTATCCCTCCGGTTCAACGTGCTAACCGGACTAATCCCCGTGGATTTCGCCAACCTCAAAGCGCTGCGGAATCTATATCTCCAGGGAAACTTCTTCTCCGGCGAAGTTCCCGATGCGGTGTTCGCGTTGCAGAACCTTGTGAGGTTGAATTTAGGTAACAACAACTTCAGCGGCGAGATTTCTCCAAGGTTCAACGGTCTCACTCGTTTGGCCACTCTCTATCTCGAACGAAACAATTTCACCGGTTCAATCCCTGACCTTAGTGTTCCGCCTTTGGATCAGTTCAACGTTTCGTATAATTCCCTAACCGGTTCCATTCCGAACCGGTTTTCGCGTCTGGACCAAACCGCTTTTACCGGAAACTCACTCTGCGGGAAGCCCTTACAACTTTGCCCCGGAACCGAGGAGAAAAAGAATAAACTATCTGGTGGTGCCATTGCGGGTATTGTGATTGGTTCCGTGTTTGGTCTGTTGTTGATTCTGCTGCTTTTGTTCTTTTTGTGTAGAAAAAGGAGTGGGAAAAACGATGGAAGTGTGTCAACTGGGAAGCGTGATGCGGTGAGTGAAGTGTCTCGTGAAAAGAGTGTTGAGAGTGGTGGGAATTCAAGTTCGGCAGAGGCAGGTTCGGCGGAGAAGAGTGAGGTTCGAAGTAGTGGTAGTGGAGATAAGAGTTTGGTATTTTTTGGGAATGTGAATAGAGTGTTTAGTTTGGATGAGTTGTTGAGGGCTTCTGCGGAAGTGTTGGGGAAAGGAACGTTTGGAACGACTTATAAGGCGACTTTGGAGATGGGGACGAGTGTGGCGGTGAAGAGGTTGAAGGATGTTACTGCCACAGAGAGGGAATTCAGAGAGAAGATTGAGCAAGTGGGGAAGATGGTTCATCACAACTTGGTCCCACTAAGGGGTTATTACTTTAGCAGGGATGAGAAGCTTGTAGTCTATGATTACATGCCTATGGGAAGCTTATCTGCTCTCCTACATGGTAGTACCGCATCTTTCACGCTTGGTTGTTATTTTTGGACAATAGTGTCTCTCGTTTTTCTCTGTCTTGGTGCTATTTCTTTTGTTAAATCAGGTGAATGATTGTGGCTGTTCTTGTGTCTACTCAATGCTAGCTCTTTAGGCGGCTACTTCTTGTTTTTATATTTCTTGATGCTTTGGTTGTTGTTGTTGTTTCTCGTTCAGTTTTGTAATGTACTGTCACGGCTTGGATTTTACCTCTGCTAAATGTCTTGTCTAGATTGTGTCTTTATTTCATCACATCTTCTGCCCATCGGAGTTCGGTTTACTTCTGCGAATTAAAGTGTTTTGCTTAGAAATAAATTTTATTTTTGATATTCTAGTTTGGACAATAGATGTCATGCATATTGTACCTACATTACGTCCAAGGTAGATAGAGTCTTGCATCAAGAGTTTGTGCCTCTGAATTAGGTCTTAAGATAGTCCTCAATGTTGTAATGGAAAACTCATTGTCAGTAAATGTTTGCTTTCAGGATTGTAGTTTCTGACTAACACTCAATTTTTATGAAGTATTTGGTGATTGTTTGTTAAATACTTCACTTGGGAACGTAGTACGAGGCTTCTACATTTGATGAAATGAAATGTAGGCTGCATTTGGTCATTCGTAGGTGAATGAAATTGTAATGATTTTGAATTGGGTTGCAAAAAAACAAAAAAGGATTTTAATTTAGATGTGTTAAGACAAGCAACTTATGATTTGGTCTTTCTGATTTTGTTGTTGTAGCAAATGGTGGGGTGGGGAGGACTCCACTGAATTGGGAAACAAGGTCTGCTATTGCCCTTGGTGCTGCTCGTGGGATTGCATGCATTCATTCGCATGGCCCAACGTCCTCTCATGGAAACATCAAGTCATCGAATATCCTTCTCACCAAATCTTTTGAAGCTCGTGTCTCCGACTTTGGCCTTGCTTACCTTGCTCTTCCAACCTCTACTCCAAACCGTGTTTCTGGTTACCGAGCGCCAGAGATCACTGATGCGCGCAAAGTATCCCAAAAAGCTGATGTCTATAGCTTTGGTATCATGCTTTTGGAGCTGCTTACTGGGAGGGCTCCTGCTCATTCTTCACTGAATGAAGAAGGGGTGGACCTCCCAAGATGGGTCCAATCCGTGGTTCAAGATGAGTGGAATACTGATGTATTTGACATGGAGCTTCTAAGGTACCAGAGTGTTGAGGAGGAAATGGTCAAGCTCTTGCAGCTTGCCCTTGACTGCACGGCCCAATATCCTGACAAGAGACCTTCAATGGATGTGGTGGCAAGCACGATTGAGGAAATTTGCCATACTAGTTTAGAGAAAGAGGAAGGGAAGAATCATGATTTTAAAGATGCTGATTATGGATTTTCCCAACAATACTACTCTGTTGACTCGGGTGTGTCACAAGCTTGAATACAGAATTGAAGACAGACCCCCTTTTACTTCATCATTGACACATCCAAGCTTCAATATAGAACTGAAGAAAGACCTCATTGTTTCATATTTGGCCTGTTTTTGGCTTGCACATTAAACAAGTGTTGTTTGTTTTGTTTATTCATTGAGGGATTATAGAAACCAGCTTTGTATGTCCTTTGTCTTACACTCTCACTACCTTATTTTCCAAAGTCCCTTTTGTTATTCTGTGTCTTGGTTGGGGTTTCCATTCCCCACTTCGTTTACTACTTCATTATATTCCTGAAAATACGGTTACTTATTTTCATTTTTACAGAATATGCGTGAATTGTGAATAAATTGTTTGGATATTTACATTAGTGATTGGGTTTTCTCCCTCTGTTTCGGTTTGGTTTGTATACTATTTTACAGCTGAGACAAGGTCTTGCAGTCTGGCCAATAGTTTATCAATAACAGAACTAGAAGAATCTAATTATCTGAGATCAGCTTGCCCTTTCAATTTTTTAATGAGTTTAAAAAAATATATGGTTTGGACAAATCTAATTATCTTAGATCAGTGACCCTCCTTAAAATTAGTGACAAGACAACTCTTCAAAAGAAATAGTGACAGCTATACTACTAAGATATACTATACTCACCTAATAATACAAGTTTGGACATAAAAATTAGAAAACACGTGTAATTTTTATAAATAATGGATGTAGTAAATACGTAAAAATAATATTTAAAGTGCATATAATTTTCTGAAGTGACTGCTGTAAGGTTCAAACTCGCTATAAGATAGAAGTAAAGAGTATATTTCTGTAGGTGCTATCAGGCAATCTATGTTGACACAATATAGGTTCAGAAAACATTAAATTCATTTTCATTCAACTAAGTTTTTGTTTTAGATACAGATACAAAATAAAAGTAAAATCAAGAAAACAGGACATGTGTTAATATTATTAGAGGCATTTCGCAGCCCCTCAATATTAGAAAACTTAATCACACGACATACCAAATCAAAAGCTTAAGAACTATCCTAAACACAAATTAATTCATATTTACAATCATCTCATATAAAGTAGAGCGTTTTTTACTTGGAACAATTTTCTTTTACAAGTTCCTCGACTAAGAAAGAACAATCTCATTCTAACATGTAATCATAGTAATTAAAAAGTTTATTCTAATAAAGAAAATTGATTCCTTGCAACGTAGTGAATATTTTTTTTTAATTTTTATAACTGATTATTTTAATTATATGTTTCACCAAAAAACTCAATGGGCTAAACCTTTTTAATATTTAATGTCACGATAAATTTTATAACTGTATAAAAGTTTCTATATAGTTATTTTTTATGTCTCTTATGTATGTTCTCTTCTATTCTTGGACAACATCTTTGTGTCTTCAAATCCTTAGATAGATCTTGGCCAAAAGAACAAAAAAAATATTAACAATTCTGCCACATGAACAGTTGAACACTTTGATCTGAGACCAAGATGGATGTAGAATTTTCTACTATGTGCTTCCCCTTTAAAGCATTTGTTCTTGTTCTTGGAATTTGACATGTATTCTTTGTTGCACTCCTTTTCAGTGCTTCTTCCCTCTTAAATATTTACCCCTGTAAAAAAAAAGTACATTTAATTGCTAGATTGAACTTGAGTTTGTTGAAACTTAGTTGTAAAGAATTATGCTTTCCAACTTACTTTAATCTGAAATTATGTTCATCTGATCGGAAAAGGAGAAAAAGACAGAGAAAAGTGAGATGTGGCTAACTGGCTTGTTTTCGCTTATGATGCAATTTTGATTTGTTGAAACTGAGTTGTTTCAATTAGTTTGGGAAATGAATCAAATAATGTCTGAGTTAAGTGAAATCAAATACTTCACCACACTTGCTTCTAGACATCGTATTTTATTACCATGACATGAGAGTTATGGCTGGCTCTAGTGCAGCAGGTTGGGAATATAATGTCAGAAATTTCAATATGCCAGAGAAAATTAATTTAGGTAAAAATGAAAACAAAGGGTTAAATAATTCCCGCTATTTAATTGTTTATATATATATGGTTGTATGTTGTATTTAATTTTTTTTTCACTCACCATCATAAGACTAGTTTCCATCTTTACAAAATATTTATAGGAAAAAATACAATATTTTTTATATAAATAAAATATGATTTATGAATAGATAAATTAAGAAAAAAATTATTTTTGTTTTACTAAAAAAAATTAACTAATATATAAGTTAGTTTTTATAGAATGAATTTATTTGACTTCTATATAAACTTATTATAGAAGAAGATTCCCCTCCCTTAATATGAACCAATTATTAATTTTCCTCTAATTTTGTTTCGAAGGAAATTTCATAATTAAAAAAGAAAAGAAAAAGACCCAAGTTTGACATTTGAAAACAGTAAAATGTGAAGAGACATACTTCGAATTGAGCCCATTTTAGTTGGGCCTATAGCTTTGGGTTAACAGGTATAAAGTTGAGGAAGCAATACTTTAAACAAATATCAAAATTGACATACACTAAGAAGAAAATAAATATAAAAGCAGATTATTAAGTTTGACTAAACAAACTGTAAGTAACAAACTAAAATACATATTAATATAAATTCAAAATATTTTATTTTTATATGCTAACTTTAAACTATAAATGAATAAAATTTCATTTAGATAAAGTGTTAATGTATATATACTTTGTAAACAACATTGAAAAGTCAAATCCAACTCACTTAATATTCAATTTGAAGATATTACCTGAGCCATTAATAGGTTAATCGAACATTGAAACAAATAAAAACTTATTTTAAAATTGTTTATATATTTAACAAAACATTATAGGTGAAAATTAATATCTCATAATAAAGATTAAATATTTTACATAATATGCAATAAATTAAAATATCACTCCTTACTTAACCTGATGCACCCTATGAAACTTGTAAATTCTTTATCACATTGTAAAACTTTTCTCATTTTTCCCCCACACCAAATTAACTCACCGTTTTAAATTTATTTTGACAACGCTAATTCCAAACTGAGTATTACTAATTCCAAAAGGCCTAACAGTTTTATACTACAATGTAAACATACCATACCAGATTGAAAAGAACAAGTAATTAATTAAGCAATAATACACAGCAGAAACAGCAATTTACCTACATTACGCACTTGGACTAACCCAAAGCAAAAGACATTTTCACCTTTTTTTTGTGAATGAAGGGGATACACTACATCAATTTATTCCTTTTTAAGTTGAATCAAATATAAAGTTAAATAGAAAAGTTTGTGAATAGCCCTCTACATTAGTGTTAATGAATATAGTTTTCTTTTCCATTTTTTTGAAGGGAAGGGGGAATTGCAATATATATTTATATAGCCATAAGAGTACAGCAACTATCCCAAAGGGAAATAGTGAATGTTTGATAAAGATTGAATCGATTCTAGTTGAAAAGAATAATAAAGATGATGATTCAGTTGCAGCCTCATTCAGTCGAAACCCTTAGCTGGTTTTTGTACAAAATTGAATGGACCACTATGAACAACACAATGCTACCAAGTCGAATATGCAGCATTATCCATCTACCACAAAATTTTGCAAGGCTTCTTCTAACTTATATCACTTTATAGCAAAACCACTCCCCATAATAGAAATCCTGTTACCATTAGAAGGCTTCTAATTCTCAAGTCACAGTTGCCAAGGTTGTAGGCTGAGGAATCTGAATTTGTAGAATTCATGGATGGAGCTGTGAAGTTACCTAAGGTGCCATTTTTGCCAAGACTGCACATATTCACAGACATGTCACTTGCGAGTAATTGCAACACAAACAAAACAAGAATAATGAAAACTGAAAATGAATCAAAGAAGCAAATATGTTATCTTACCTTCCAGGAAATAAACAAGAACCATGACCTACAATCATTTTAAAAAAATATATGTTAATTGTCCTAGAGAATGAAAACATACTAAAGCTAATCCAATCCAATACTAGGGGAACAGCAATTTACTTGGATCTGAGGTAGAGATTGTAGCTACTCCATTGAAGTCACACGCATCGAGAGTTTTTCCCATCTTATGATAGTAAGTGTCAAAAGCATAATTTGCATGTGCAATCACATTGTCTGGTTCATAGCATGGTTGTCCTTGCAGCAATGGAGAGCATTCAACCTTGCCTGGTCCACATGCCCAATCTAATGCAGCCTGCAGCATCTTCGGGTCAGCACCATCCTTGGCAATGCAGAAGGTTTGATTACTGGTATCATTTGCTAGGACTGCCCCTGATTCTGTCAAGTGTAGAATGTAGATAGGTGTTCCATTTGCATCAAATAGTCCCCAGTTTTTCTCAGATAATGGCCCCGGCTTCGTATCCTCATTGTAGAGCTCATAGATGTAAGTACTGACAGCAATTCCAGGATGTTTGGGAGTTCCGGTTTTGTTAAACACATGCTTGATCAAATTGCTGTTGTACGTGTTAGCATTGTCTACCGTTGCATCAGGCTCGTTGGAGCCACCTTTTGAAGGCCACCCTGACTCGGTCACTACTACAGGAATATTGGTGTAGTTCAGAAAAGCCATGGCAAAGTATGCAGCATCAACCATGGCATCAAAGACATTGGTGTAGTGAAGAAGGGTATTTGAATCGACAGCTTCTTTGTTTGGAGGGAGAGTTTTGAAGAGTGCATAGTCTAATGGAATCACTCCATTAGATTGCATGTAGTCATAGTAAGGGTAAATGTTTAGCATCAGATAAGATCCAGTGGATTGCAAAAAATCAAGAAGAGGGACTAAAACTGGATTGAGTGAACGGTTAAAGAAAGCCTGAGAAGGTGGAAATGAATCAAGGATGATGGAAGAAGAAAGGGGTGTCGAAACTTTAACTTGGCGATCAAGATTTGATGCCACAAGGGCAGAATGAATGTACTTAATGGCGCTAACAAGTAGTTTTGCCACATTTGGGAGGGAAGTTAAAACATCAGAACCAACACAAATGGTTGTGATATTGGTGGCTGGATAATGTGCTACCACATTGCGGGAAACCCAGTTGGCAGCCGTGGAATTTGATTGACCAATTGCTAGGAGCTCTTCATTAGGAACAGTCACAACAACTTGAATGCCTGTCTTTGCAAGTGCAAGGAGCATAGCTTGGTCGGCATCATACAACCGAACATGCCGGATTTGCTGGGCTTTAAGTAGAGCCACGACTTGAGTAGGGTGTGGCATATCAGAGAGATCTGTTCCAATGTTGACTCCAATAAACGCTTCTGCGCGATACAAAACATTAAGATACATCAAAGACAAGATTTAAGTCCTCACACAATGAACCAGTCAAGTTGGAACATGGAATGGAAGCATGTGCAAGCCGACTCTTATGCATAATTGGTTTGTTTCAAACAATCCAAGTTCCATTTGGGGAGTAATTTCATGATGATGTGCTATCGGTGAAGATTACCTGCAAAACTTTTAAACAATAGAATAGTTCTCCAAAAGTCGAAATCTTTTCCAAAAATAACTTCTCCAATCTACACTACAATGTATCACACAAATCCAAATGTTGGAGAAAATGACAATACATGGCTTAATCAAAGGACAAAAGAACAGTCCCATTGAATATAAAATATCTGAATCCTACTGGTGGACCGCATCCAAGAAGATCAAGAAACCAAAAAAAGCCTGACTATTTTAAAAACATGTTATTAATTATTAGCTACAAGTTGAATCTTAGAATAAAAAACAATGTAAACATACAAAATCTACTAGGAAAGAGACTAGCCAATCATTCATTATCCCACCTATAAGATGCCAACTAAACCATGGTTCTAACACATTTAACACCATATAAATCTCAGACAACATTCACAGTTTCTAATCCACAGCAAGGGTGTGCTACTGCCAAGGTGCGAAAATGGAAAATGGAAGAGTGTATTCGGGCCTTGACATGACTAAAGCATAGATAAGCTTTAATCCCACCAAGCAAATTCGAAAAATCTCAAGAAAACAGCAAGGAATCATGTGAGAACTAAACAAGTAAAGGCTCAATAAGAACCATGCAGGTTAAATAAAATATATTTTGCAGTGGTTTCAGAACAATGCCAGCCCATGTAGAGAAAACAGAACAAAGGGCAATGAAAGATTCAGAATGCAAGCACAACTTCAAAAAGAGGAAAACACAGGATCTCTTAGCAGCATAGGAAGCGAAGCGGGAGGGGGTAAAAGGGTCCACTCACCATCATCAGCTGCAACAAGTGACACTGCAAAAAGCAGGAGAAGAAAATGCACAGCCATATAGATTCAATGGCTCTGAGAAATCTGGAGAGAAGTCTCAATAATGAAAGAGAGAGAGAGAGAGAAAGAAAGAAAGAGTGTGAATAGAGACTGAAGAAAATGAAAACCACAAGGAGTAAATTGAAAAGCAGAAAGTGGGGTAAAGCTGTAGGAGAATATATGACTGTGTTCGAGAGGGGGCTACAAGATCAAGACAGAAAACACACGTGGAAAGGTTTCAGATAAATCAAACGGCTATGGAGTCATTCATAGAAGTTCACTGTTAACATACATTAAACAAGCATATGCAAGTGGCCGAAGAGTTAGCCCAAGACCAAAGAAATCACGAAACAAACCAAGACTTAAGATTAAGACACTTTTTTTCTCTCTATATTTGTTTTTTTTGGTTATTCATCTCTTCAGTTTATAACGTGCAAAGTCGTACAAATTATGTTAGGTGCTTAACAAATTTCGGTTTTTGCAAGCCTCGAATATTTTTAGAAAGAATCGAGCTTGCTTTAACAGTTAGAACAAGGATTAAACAATGCTTCTGTAGTTTGAATAATTTAAACTATACTGTCAAATAAGTCATTAATATTTATGAGTTAAACCTTACATACAGAGAACAATGAATAAATGTCTTTAACTCGCCGAATGTTATGTGTTTGACTCGGACTACCATATCAGAGAGAGAAGGGGTGTGCATTCTTTAATTGTCGTACAAAGGAAAAAGAATACATAATTATAATCATTAAATAAAGTTTACAAGTTTCAGTTTCATATTTAATCATAAATACCATATAAATTTTCTTTCTTTTAAATCAAAGATTGCTTGAAATTTTAAAAATTTATAAATGATTTATATAATTCAAAACATATTTTAAATTAATAATTTTAGCTTTTTGTATTCGTTAGTTTTAATAAATTGAAAGTTTAATTAAGAAACTAAAATTAACATACAAACTAATTAATATAGTAAAATATGCCTACAAATATATATAATTAAAAAAACTGTAAACAGACATTCAAGTTAATGTATGCCTTTTCTGTAGTTACAATTAAATACTCTCATGCTATAATAATATAGTGTTCTCTCTCTTGTTGGAGTAGTAAAAGGAGAATGAATGAGTGTAAGTTGGTATAAATATATAATAATAGTATTGAAGTGTTATTATTTATCTAATTATTATTACTATGTTTAGTGTGTGTGCATGTGGAGGAGAAGACATGCACCTGTTCTCCTAGCCGTTACAGTACGGATAGTTCTTTTTCGCAGTTGGATGGTTTGTTGTGTTGTAGTAATAGCTGTGTAGTGTCTGGTCCTCTGTTTGTTTGTTTGTTTGTTTCCATCTCTTACCTGGAATCTGCACACACATCTTTTCTGTTTTTTAAAAGATGAAAACAAACAAGGAATAGTGATTGCATCTCTCCTTTTGGGTGACACCAGAGTATCCTCAAATGAGATTAAAAGATATTAAGGATGTATTTAAGTTTTAAAAGGTTGCGTTCAAACAATGTCATCATGGGGTTTCCGTTGAACGTGTTTTGGAATTGGACATTTGTTTTGTCTAAAACATGCATGTACACTGATTCTTGTGAATAACGGGATCCATTTAAGAAAATAATATTTCTTAACCTTTTTTTTTTGTAAATTTACTTATAATAAAAAAATACCTATGAAAAAAAAGTTAATCATTGATGTTATTGGATATTTTAACTAAATTTATCAGTTTGAATTAATTTTATTAAATAAAAAGTTGGACACATTCGTATTAGCGAGTCAGATTTTCGATCCGTGGACCTACCTCAACCTGTTTTTGAGGAACCATTGCCCCTCTATTTTTTCACACATAAATGTTAAAATTCCAAGTCATATCCACATTAAAAAAAAAAACACAAGTTTTTTTTTTTTTTTTTCATATCTTACCATGTTAATTAATGTTACCGAAGTGACCCACTCTGGTCGGTGACAGTAGCAATAGCATGAAAGAAGGAAGCATGGTATCCATCAACGGTCCAACAGTTGGTCCACTTTGTAAATGCTGTTATTATTAGATATACGCCATAACACACCACAATTTATGCCCTACCCTACAAGTCACAACTCTTTCACTTTTCACTAACTTTTCTTCACCATCCTATTTTTATTTTTTCTTATCCAATTGATGAAAGTATGAGAGTAAAGAAAGAAGAAGAAATGAAACCGAATAGAGTAGAGATGACTACAGTAAAACTGTTAAAATTAAATAAAAGAGAAAAAAATTAAACATGAGATAAAATTTAATTATTATTAATAATTTTTATTTATTAATTGTGTTTTTAATAACTCTTTATTGTTATTATTTTAAAAAAATATTTCATTTATCATGTATTGTCAATTATAGAAAAATAAGAAAGAAATTCCTTTAAGGTGTAAAGGAAAACCAAGAGTAAATGAATGTTAAAAATAATCTATATTTATGTGTGTGATCTTTCAAAATATCCTCACTTGCTAAAAATAAATATTTTATTATGTTCATCCATAACTTTAGTAAAAAAATATGATTATATTTCAAGATAAAATTAAAATTTTTTAACTACTTTATTGAGTTCAAAAAGTTGGTCAAAAAATAAAGTAATAAAAGTTTTAAAATTTTTGAGATTGAATAGTTGTAGTTGAAAGCAATGAAGGGAAGTTAAGGGGAGTTTTGTTTAGATAAATTAGAAAGATTCTTGTTTCAAATATACTTGATTTAAACAAGGGAGGTTGATCAGGTGTTTCCTTGATGCTAATTTGTGCTAAATTTTTCTTGTAATATTTTTCATAATTATCAATAAAATAGGAAGAGATTTTGATGTTATTTGTGTGACATAGAAGGAGTTTTTTTTTCTCTTGTAATATTTTTTATGATTATCAATGAAACAAAGAGAAATTTTTTGATGAATTAAAATCTGTATGAAATTCATTCCCATCTCTGAATTAAACAGAGAGAGTTAAGAGAAGTTTTTGCTCATGAGTTAGGAAGAGTTTTGTTATTAATATATCCAGGGGGAGATTAAGAAACTCTGACACTTGATATAAATCTGTGTTAATCTGTGTTAAACTATACTGTGCAAATCTTGAGCTGGCTATATAGAGTCAAACATTTTAATTCATTTCAGGTGTTTCCTTGATCATCATAAAAAAGGGGAGATTGAAAGCAATGAGGAGGAGATTGATGACAATGTGAAACATGTTCATACATTCCCAAAAGATGATTTTGATGATGATTCAAATCAACAACATTCAAGATTCAAGCAAGCCCAAAATGATTCTTGTAGACTAGATAAAGTCTTAGAATAATGGATATGGAGGTACAAGTTGATGAAGTTGTATTATATATAAGTCTTCAAAGCACAAGTGTGATAAAATTTCATAACATGACATTTTTTATTGTCATAATCAATTATGATGCATCAGAAATGGAAAAAACGATTTTCTCTTTATCATAATCGATTATACTGGTAACATAGTCGATTGTGATAATTCAAATTTGAAAAATATATCTATTTTAAAGAATAAATGTTTTTGAATAAATCATGATTTTTCTCTACGAAAGTATTAATTACCAACGACTATTTTCCTTTTTAAATGAATTTTGATGAAAAACAAAATTACAAAATTCGAAAATTCAATTTACATTCTATCAGTTTTGAGAAAAGAATTCTGAGCAAGGCAACATAACACTTTTAGGTTTTCTGAGAAAACTTTTTCATATTGTCTTCTGCACTTTCATTGTTAATCACACTTGTTCTTGGAAGTTGACATTCTACAATTTGTTGTCTCCATTACCAAGTGTGACTATTCTTATTTAATTGATTGTGTTATTTAGGGTTTCCTGTGTGTGAACTGTTCATCCTTTGTTCCTAGGAGGTGTGGTCTTGTTTCATCCCTTGATTTGTTCCTAGGAGGTGTGGTCTTGTTTCATCCTTTTATTTGTTCCTAGGAGGTGTGAACTTGTTTTATCCCTTGTTTTGTTCCTAAGAGGTGTGGTCTTGTTTCATCCCTTTGATTTGTTCGGGGAGGTGTTCATTTCTAGTGTGATTCTAAGGAGGTGTTCATCCTTTGTGTGTTGGTCGCAAATGAGGTGTTTTTCATACTTTGTTTGTTCAGAGGAGGTGTTAATCCCTAGTGGGATTCTAGGGAGGTGTTCATCCTTAGTAGGTTTATAAGGAGGTGATTGTCTTTTTAATTAATTTACTCTTTACTGGTTCCTCTGCTGAGTTGATTGTAATTTGTAAACTGAATTTTAAAAATAGTGAATTGGGGTCACTCTTGTATTAGAGGTGACTGGAAACTTGATGTAGGATTAGTTATACCCGAACCAGTATAAATTACTGTGTGCTCTTCTTTTCCCTTAATCACTCCTTTTCTTTTACTGCATTACTCTCCTTCTTTGTTTTCCCTATATCTGTGTGCTTATATCTTTTTCTATATCTCTCTGATTATATCGTTTCTGCTTTATCTTTGTTCAATTTGATAATTGAAATTGAATTAATAAATATTAAACATCTTAAAATAAATTTTTAATTTGACATCTATTTTAATTTGTATATCTATTCACCGCCCTCTAGATGTCATTTGTCTAACAGTAGTGAGTATATAATGATGAATTTATTTTATTCTACAAGAAAAAAAATATTCTACATGAAATTGTACCCTCATATACACTATAACAGAGTAATGTTGCTGAAAGAAGAAAATGAATGATTATTAACATAGTAAAAAAAATGTTAAAAAGCAAAAGTTTATCATATTCTTTTTGGGGTGAAGCAGTTGCTACTACAACTTATATTTTAAATCGATGTCTAACTAAGAGAGTTAAGGAAAAGACAAAAAAAAGTTTGGTTGGGAGAAAAACCTAGTGTAAATTTAGCAGTTGAAGGTATTTGGTTCGATTTGTTGGAAACATGTTCTCGATGAAGGAAGAAGAAAACTCGATGATATAAACGAGATACTAATTTTGATATGGTATCATTCAACAAGAACTTATATGTTGTAT